CAGACGTTGAGGACAGTTACAAGTACCTTGGTATCCACAAGCAAGTGGCAACCTCGAAGAGGCAACAAGGAAAGCGGCTACGGCCAAATACCTGCAAAGAGTGAGGCAAGTCCTGAGAAGCCAGCTCAATGGCAAGAACAAGGTGCAGGCAATCAACAGCTATGCCTGCCAGTGATCAGATACCCTGCAGGGATTGTAAGCTGGCCAAAGGAGGAGATACAGACCACAGATGTTAAGACACGAAAGCTCCTGACCATGCATGGAGGGTTCCATCCCAAATCCAGCACCCTGAGACTGTACGCAGGCCGGAAGGAAGGGGGCCGAGGACTAGTGAGTGTGGGAACCACTGTCCAGGATGAAACATCCAAGCTCCTTGAGTACATCAAGGACAAGGCCCTGACAGATGAGGTGCTCAGAGAATGTCTCAGACAGTGGGGTCCAGAGGAAGAGGTGCTGGAGGGACCATCATGGCAGGACAAACCCCTACATGGGGCGTACCACCGGAACATAACTGAAGTGGCTGATATCAAGAAATCCTACCAATGGCTTGAGAGGGCTGGTCTGAAGGACAGCACAGAGGCACTGATCCTGGCTGCTCAGGAGCAGGCCCTGGGCACTCGAGCAATAGAGACCCAGATCTACCACACCAGACAAGACCACGGTGTAGACTGTGCAAAGAGGCTCCTGAGACAGTCCAGCACATAACTGCGGGGTGTAAGATGCTGGCAGGGAAAGCATACATGGAGCGACATAACCAAGTGGCGGGCATAGTGTACAGAAACATCTGTGCAGAGTACGGGCTGGAAACCCCAGGATCAAGGTGGGAAACACCTCCAAAGGTTGTGGAGAATGACCGAGCCAAGATCCTGTGGGACTTCCAGATACAGACTGACAGAATGGTGATGGCGAACCAACCAGACATAGTGGTGGTGGATAAGAAACAGAGCAGAGCCGTGGTGGTTGACATCGCAATACAAGCGATGGTAATATCAGGAAAAAGGAACACGAGAAGCTAGAGAAATACCAGGGGCTCAAGGAAGAGCTGGAGAGAGCCTGGAAAGTAAAGGCATCAGTGGTGCCTGTGGTGATCGGAAGCACTCGGGGCTGTAACCCCCAAACTGGAAGAGTGGCTACAACAGATACCGGGAAAAACAACGGACATCTCAGTCCAGAAAAGTGCAGTACTGGGAACAGCAAAGATACTGCGCAGAACTCTCAAGCTCCCAGGCCTCTGGTAGAGGACCCGAGCTGAATGAGGGTGAGAGAGACCTACCACCGTGGAAGGTGAGAAACACATTTTTTTTTTTTAATATATATATATATATATATAAAATGACTAAATGTAGCACATTATTTGATATTCTGCTTCTAAAATTGGGTAGAAATTATTTCAGGCTTTTTTATTTATTAAAAAGTTTGAAAATATGTCTACTAGCCTACAAAAGTGTTATATTACCCAAAGATAAATACACATACATTCATAAAACAATATATAATAGTAACTAAAGTGTTTTAAAATATTTTTTAACGAAGAGAAAGCATCTCTCACCTGCAGCTGCTGTATCTCGGGTTGAGTGACGACAGGCCTGTTCTGTGGTTTATATTGTGTTTAACTTAATCATTTTTTACAGGAAACTAGTCACATCTCCTTATAAAGAAGTCTTCTGCTTTCGACTTTAAAGCATGTCATTTAAATTAAATACAAATAGTTATAAGTAATATTATGTATTTAATTTATATTATTAGTAATTTATAAAAAACTATCATATGTTCACAAATAAAACAATACTTTAGAGTGATTATCAGATACTAATACTGTCATTTTTTTTTCAAAGCAACAGGAAGGGGACAGGGGAACAAGGTGGAAAAGGGGAACTTCTAAAAATTTACTTTCATGGAAGATTAAATTAAAATGACTCATCATCATCAAATATGGAATGAATGAATTACACGCAAAACTCTATGACAAAATTTGGTTTATGAAAGTCACCATGCCTGACTTTTATTTTAAATATGAAAAAACAACTAGGCCTAGTGCATTTTAAATAAATGGATGGAAACAATGCTGTAGATGAATTCTACAGCCACAAAAGGTTATTATTTCTCCCTGGACACTCCCCTGTATAACCCACCATGTCTTGATTGTAATCATAGTTATAGCAATCAGGATACAGATAATAACCCCATAGTCTTTTGGGTCTCAACTTCTTCTCTAATTTATTGATCTGAGGAAGTATCTTTTCACAGCACGCTCAAATACTATCTCGGCCCAATCTTCAGCTTTGTCATCGGTTAGAGAAGCATTTTTTTTTCTTAACAGTTTCAAAGGAAAACGGGTATACACACACACACATATAGAAGTGTGTGTGTGTGTGTGTGTGTGTATGTATGTATATATATATATATATATATATATATATATATATATATATATATATATATATATATATATATATATATATATATATATATTATATGTATGTGTGTGTGTGTGTTTATATAAAAACACGGACTAGCAATGATAGAAAACTCAACAAGCATCACTGAAATTACTTGAAACTAAGAAAAGCAATAATATATAAAAATTTACTGAAAATTGTCCAACAAATATTTTGTTGCACAACCTTTTGAGGCAAACTCTGCAAACAAATGATATCTGTAACTGTCAATGAGACTTCTGCACTGGTCAACAGGTATTTTGAGCCATTTTTCATGAGCAAACTGCGTTAGTTGTCTCCGGTTTGAAGGGTGCCTTCTCCAGACAGCATGTTTCAGCTCCTTTCACAGATGTTCAGTAGAACTGAGATCTGGGCTCACAGAAGAACACTCCAGAACAGTCCAGTGTTTTGTTCCGAGCCATTCTTGTGTGCTTTTTGCTGTGTGTTTTGGGTCATTTTCCTGTTGGAAGACCCATGACCTATTATTAGTACAGTACAACAAGAATGAGATTGTAAAGATAGGACAGGAATCTAAAGCGGATTTTTATTTATGTTTTGTATTTACAGCAATAAAAACTATTTTTGTATGACACAATTTTTCATGTTTCTCACAAATGATAAATTGGTGGATCTAAATCCATAGTGACTTTAGGAGCCACTTATATCTGTACTGGGGTTAGACTCATTTTGTTCAAATACATCAGGTACAGGGCCTTTATTGACAGGAAGATTTAAAGCAAGTTTTTAAATCAATATAAAAAAAAAAAAAAACTAAAAAAAACAGAAAAATATATATCAGTTATTATATTAGATTGAATTCTATAATGAAAATATATGATCAGTCTTGGATAACTTTTCCATTATGCCAGCAGGGGGTGCTGTTTACATATCCATCCTATGGATTTATTAAATAAATTTCCCCAACATCATTCCCCTCTTCACACACTATAGATCTGACTCTTTTACCACAATTCTCAAAAATTCTAGAAAAATAGTTTGATGCAAGACTGGAATCATTTATTCAAAAATACAATATAACAACAGATAATCAATATGGTTTTAGGAAAAGTCAATCCACATCTCTGACAATTATTGACACAGTTGAAGAAATAACAAATTCTACTGACAATAATAATCATACTGCTGGAATATTTACAATTTGAAAAAATCTTTTGATACCATACACCACAGGATTTTAGCCATTAAACTTGAAAGATATGGTATTAAGAGGAGTAGCTAGTAATAATTTCGAGATCACTATGACTTGGACTAATATTTTTTGGAAAACAAAGGGTTAATATAATGGAATAGACACGGACCAATCACAATTTTTTTTCCAATGGTATCTGGGTAAATGAGTGACTCCCCGTGGAGGCACTGAACTAAAGAAACACCTGCAGGGCCTTTGCCTTCCTGTAGCGAAGGCCAGTGCCTTCGCAAATACCCTGTGATAGCAAATATAAGCAAGTGATAAATGCTGTCTGTTCACTCTGTCCCGCCCTAACTCTCCACTGGCAGCATGTTACTGCTACAGGCTAATGAATGGATGACAACAGAGCTGTGTGCTATAGGAGTTCTGACAAGTTCAACTTCAAGTCAAAGTAATATGGGAGTAATATGTCTTCTCGTCAGCGGGACCCTTCTGCCAAGTAAGAAAAGAAGCATTAAGCTGAAATGACTGCATCTGGCTTCGGTGAAATCCTACAGCTCTTATTTTGATTCACACACTGGCTAATGGTGGCTAGCGACTTTAGCCTAAGGGCCTAGTTCCACTGCACAGGTATTTCGCTCTATGCAAGCATAAAAACTGCAGTGTTTGTATGCGTAACTTTTAGAATGCATGGAAAGTGAATGAGGGCAGCTCCACTGTGTGCGCTAGACGCGCGTATGGAGATTTCAGAAAATAGGGTCCATCCTATTTTTTGATGGTCTACACGAGCGTAGGCGCGTATGCCCATCTAAATACACAGAGAGCATGAATCTTTGGTTGTATTTGTGTGTTTACCATCAGCACAACTTGTTCCCTGGGCAGTTCTGTGTCGTGTGAAAGAGCCGAGGTCCAGAAAGACTGTTAAAATGTCCTTTAAAATTTACTTTTGAAAACCTTGCGTTTGCCCTGCTCACCCAGTGCAGAAGGTAAATACAAGTCTGTTCAGCTTGTTAATTTCACTGTGGACCTGATACAAGTGGCTAAACGCGCCCAGTCAAGTTTGATCGGCTTCACATTGACAAACACAGAGTCAGTGTCGTGCGTGTACGTCCTGCTGCAGCTGCCGGTGGAGTTGCCTTAGCGTTGACGTGCGGCTTTGGTTTCACGAGGTTACGCACGTAAACGCTGACATGTGCAGTAGAACCAGGCCCTAAGGGTTGGGGTGGATCAATCAGACCCAAAAGTTAATTTTCTCGCCTAGCAAGAAAATATATTTTTTGACCCGCCCCAAGAGAGCGGGAGGGAAAAAAATGTCTTCAGGTCTGTGTGACCCCGAGGGGAGCGTGAGGGTTTTAAAGGCTCTCTCAAAAACCTTCCTATATACAGGGACTTCTCTTTGAGCTATTCGATTTGCCCAAACCTGCGCGCTACAAGTTGACCTACACATCACATCACACGTGTATTTATTAGGGGTGTAACGATATCCAAGTCTCACGATACGATATCATCACAGTATGAACCTCACGGGACGATATTTATTGCGATATTATGGGAAAGCTCATGATATGGTGTGGAGGCTCATTATTACAGATGTAACAATATCGAAATCTCTCAGTAGAATATTTTCATGCTGTACATCTCACAGTACGGTATTTATTGAGATATTTTGTGGAGCCAACAAAACTGTGAATATACTACTTTTTCCTCTTAAAATGCCTTGACAAAACTTAATCCAAAAAATTAAGACTTAAAAGTGCTTAGAACTGTTATTTCTTCTTGTAGTCTGCACTGAAATGGAGCAAAGGCTCATGGTCTATATAGTTCCCTCTGTCTTTTTTCCCTCTGTCCTATTTCTGCACCATAACTCTTAATTTAAGCAAAGAGACTTGTGATTCGATATATTGTGATGGTCCACGATATTATTGGGAGAACTTTGATGATACGATATCACGATATTTTAGTTATTGTTGCATCCCTAGTATTTACTTATATTAAAGATGTGATGTGAATGTTTTTGTCCTGTCATAAAGGTGCTCTCTCAAAAATACAAGAGCCTTCCTCCAGGAGTCCTCCTGAGCTCGAGCGTGGCCCACAGTCTGCCCGCCCCACACCATGCCTGGAAGACAGGAAGAAAAAGAAAAGGAAAATCATATCTCGTCATGAGTTTAATCCCCCAGCCCTGATCTACACTTTGTGCACTTTTTACAGCTTCTCTTACACAGTTTTTTGGTTTTATGTGTTCTGAAGTTGCTGGCCCGTGTGAGTGGAGAGTACGGAGGCTCGATCAGATGACCAGCGTCGGGATATACGAGCAGAGTGAGCAGGTGAATGTTCCCAGCCTTCTCCATCATTGCCTTTATCTAACACAAAACATCAACAACTTTAACTACCATAGGAATGAAATGTAAGCAACATGCAATCAAATGTCTACTAAAGTAAAGACTTCACAATTCCCAGCATTCAGACATTAAGTGAGACACAAGGACAATATAGGGAGAATAGCTTGATAACTTTATTTTGATAAATATACTGAATATGAATTTAATTTTTATTAATTTAAAAATGAACACATCTAAATTTATGTTTCAATATTTTCCACCTTACAAACTGCAGTAGCTGCTATGATATCCCCAAATACAGTGAACTCACATCCATAGCACCTATAAAAGACGACCAACACTGATCATCCTGACCCACCACTAACAACAGGGGGCACTGCACACGTCCCATCTGCACATGAAGAAAAACATTTTTGTAGTAAAACAATACAAGACAAAACAATATAAATGTGGTTGCTGGTGAGATTGCCTTGAGTAAAACATACAAAGATCCCACATAAAAAGGGTTAGTAATGTTACTTCAGCATTTCTCCAGTGCTTTTCTGTTTAAATATCTATAAATCCCTTGTACTCACATCTACTTTGAATGCAGGGTCTTCAGGGATTGGCAGGAGCAGGTCATGCCATGTTAGTTCCTGTTTCTCACTGATGCGGGTTTTATCGATATTTCTGAATAAAATTTGATTTTGTTACATGATGAAACATTTTAGCCAAGCACAGTGCTATTCACCTTATTCCAGAAGTTTGTATGTGTCGCCATTATTATTCAGGTTGTATTATTTTGCGTGGGGCTGCCGATCTTAACAGAAAATAAGTTCAATAACGACTAAAAACCTGTTTTAAAGCCCCTAGACAATCGGTGAGAATCTTGTTGGTGCACATGAAAAGTGAACATTATACACAAATTAACTTTATGTCGTAATTAAGATGTAAAACGTTTCCCAAATTCTCCATTGAAATGAATGAAATTCCCATTTAACTGGAAGTGCCACCACATGAAAGCACAGTTTAGCAGCATTTAGAGACAAAATTGGGCGGGCCAGAATAAGGTGAATAGAATTATGGTACAAAGAGAAGTATATCACACACCTCGCAGAAAGAGCTGATGAAAAAATACAATGTCAGGGAAATGATATTACACTTAAATTAGATTTGACAGTGGATTTGTCATCCCAATGACTTAAGCAATGGCTAAAAGTAAAATGATGATAAAGCTGTTAGCAGCAACATAACTTACATACTAGAGTAGTTCAATAGTTCTTCACCGCTGCTGTTCACTGGCTGAATGCGACTTCCGCTGAAACACACCGCACATCTAAGCTGAGAAACACAAAGAAACCACAGTGACATTACAGTTTTAAAATTATGCCTTATTTTAAGTGAAATAAACATATTTTTAATTAAAATTATTTAAATATATGGAAATCTATGTAGCACAAGTTCACTGTTACCTTCATGACCTTGGAGTAAGCGGCCATTTTTAAGGTCATAACTGTACCAAAAGACAGGCCCCACATGGCGATCCTGCTGCCCACAATCTGAGGATGTTGCTCCAGGAATTTATAGGCAGTCTAGAAAAGCAATAACAAGCTACATGTACTATCAAACATAATGGTCTCATGAACACCATGTAAATCATGATTAATTCATTGTTGGTCGGACTTTAGCCAACTTATGGGAAAATCTGTTCATCCATCTGTTTCAGAGTGATGAAAAAGGAATACTGTTCTTTCCTGTTCTTCCCTAATCTTACCTCTGTGCAGGCTCATCAGTCTCAAATGCAAAGCCTTCTCAATGCCTTGTGCAATTTGGGCATGGTAAGGCATCCAGGTATTACTCGCTGCCCAAGTCGTGTTCCAAATTTGGCTAATTTACCAAGGATACAAAAGATTGTATCCTTCACTGCCATGCACCAAATTCCTCCATCCATCCATTTTCTTCCACCTCTGGGTTGCAGGGGCAGCAGTCTAAGCAGGTATTCCCAGACACATCCTCCAGCTCCTCCGGGGGGACCCCAAAGCGTTCCCAGGCCAGCCGAGAGACATAGTCCCTCCAGCATGTCTAAATTACTCTTTCATCTACAATTATGATTCTAAGTAGGAGCATGGACCCACAGTGCTTATGTTATATTTAAATAATTACAATAAGGCATATACATTCAGGTGGTAGTGGTGAAAGAAACAGAATATAGGTGAAAAGTGTAAAATATGCACAAGTGTCCTTTCCACTGGCAAACAACTAGAGCACAGTGTCTGTGTTTTGAATGGTAAAAAGTCCTCAAAATTTTGCAGATAACAGGAAGATCAAACCCTCAATAAATATTTTTATGTTGTACTATTTCAGTGTGTACTCACTGTAACACTATTGAAGTTTGATTAAACTTTGATTAGATGTGGCTTACATAATAACAACCTGTGCCTTAGAACAACCTGTTCTGTGCTTTAATTGGGGGACATAAGGTCACTGAACCTTAAATTTACTGCAGCCTTTTTTAATCTTAAACCAAAGTGATGTATTACCTAAAGATAAAAAGAGTGAGCTGCTCATCCACTATTGTGATGTTGACACAGCAGCCTTTCAAGTTTCAAAGTTGACAAAATAAAAAAGATCTTCATTACCTCAAAGTAGTCATTCTTCATCCTTTTTCCAGTTGTCATTGTGACTTTATTGGTCAGATAATCCAGGGCCAGAGCAGCAAACCCATGTGACGCCAGTAAAGACGCTCTATACTCCATTAGATTGCCACCTCCTCCCCAGAGGTCCAGGACAGCAGGAAACGGGCCAGGTCCTGCATAAAATCTTCTGTAAGCAACAAAGTCGAACCCCTGGCACACACTGTGCAGAAGGAGAGCCCACCTGGAGGGAGGAAGAGTGTAGCAGTGAGGTCGTGCTCTGTAACTGGTATCCTCTGGACTCCAGGAGCCATGTACCAGCGCTCCACCAGCACAGCAGCCAGACAGCTCTGCTCCTTGAAGCCCTCTGACAGGTGGCCCTGGTACACTGACACTGTCACCTCCAGAGGGGTCTCCACATTGGTCTTCCTCAACCTGAGCCATTATTATATTGCATTAGTCACACTCATTAGATACACTTTGCATTACATCTCATACCCACTCTTACATCACATGTGCTGCTACACAAAAAATACTGTAGAAAGAACAGTCACACATTATAATGTCTGACCTGAGTCCAGGTTTACTCCCTGGCACTGGTCTGAGGCTCCACAGTAATCCCATTGGTTCCACTCCTTCATATGTCCCACCCAGGCTGGGGTCCTCACACACTGTCAATGCAAAGGTGCACTATGTAACTTTTCAGATTTGAGGTCAGCCACCTGCTTGTCTCCATGGAGGTGTAACTGGTTTTACTGGAGAACTAAAATATCAGGTAAGTCTTGCATTTAGTCAATGACAGGTATACTGTTACTAATGGCAGAGTCACCTTTCTACAAATTTGACCTCTAACATGGTGTGCTTGCATAACTTGTCTTCAGGAAAATATATGATATATAATACATTTAATGGAACATCCCAGGCATTCTCCTTTGGAACTAGCAGGTGATGGGCCCTCCACCGGAAAAGACTGAAGTGAACAGGGGAGTATTAATACTTAGTGAGAGACTTACAGTTGAGTGTCCCGGTGCTGTCACACATGTAGTGTCCAAACGCCTCCCAGTTGTGTTTGTCTTCACTGAGGAGATGGGAGCGCACCGTCAGCTCAGTCCCAGGAGGAGCATTTTGGACCAGCACTTTAAATTTCTCATCCACAAGAGCTCGGGATGGGTGAACGGACAGCCGC